CTGGCAACTAGGGACTTGTTAAGAGGGAAACAAGATTCACATCCAAATGTCCAGCGAATGAGATAATTTCAAAAATTGAGCAGACCGCAGCACCTATGGGTTTTGGTGTTAGGAAGAATCACTACAAGGTAAGACTGCCATTGTCTTGTCTTATTCTCTTTTCAGTCAATAATTTAGTTCCATCTTTCTTTTAACTCAAGCGTACCTACACTTTGATGGCTTCTTTGCTCTTTTGTTATTATTCACCTATGTTACATTGGCATTGGCGCAAATATTGGTGTGGGGTATGGCAATTTTCAGAAAATATTGGGTACTGCTATCCTATAAGATGTAATTGTCCACAAAAAAAAGAAGAAGTAATATTTATAATTTTTATCAGTATTAAAAATAAAATATGCTTGATATTTTGTTAATCAACCTGATAAATTAAATTTGCTTAAATCAATCTAATGTTTATCTAATTGAATTGGAAATATAAACTTGAAAAACGAGGAAGTCACTTAGCTGGAACCTGGAACACACACAGACTGATGTTGAGTTCAAGAGGACCCACGGCAAGTAAATTAAACCAACACCATTTTATACAATTTTGCAACCTGCAGAGCTTGGAGAGATAATAGGAAAAATCCGGAGTGCTATCCAATAAATGTATCTGCCAACCCTATTCTTGCCCAAACCAATACTGGGTAGCCATCCTGCACTCCACAGGCTGACGCGCAGACAAACATTACAGTACTTAAAAACTCCTTAAGAATTATACTTGCCTGGGCTTATTTGTAACTCAGTCCTCACATAACATGGCTTCATAGTAATAACTTATTGTTGTGAATGTTTTACTTTTGATAACACCTATTGTCTGTCGCTTCATCTCAGTTAAAGCTTCAAGGGGAAAAGAGTGGACGCAAAGGACATCTATCTATTTCAACTGAGGTATGTGTTTTTCAAAGTATTTCTTTTCAAAAGGTGCTCTCTATTTCTGCTTTTTAATTTCCTTGTAATGAGGAGTAAGGTATATTTCTGGTGATTGGTTTTATTGTTTTTATAGATATTTGAGGTGGCCCCTTCGCTTTGCATGGTTGAGCTCCGCAAGTCTGGAGGAGATACTCTGGAATTTCATAAGGTTGCGTTTTAGAATGCTTAAATAAATGTTTAATTTTTTTTCAAATACCCTCCCTCCATTAGTGAAGGAGTCGGGTAAAATCTTTTTGCTCGTAGAGTAGAGAAGGCTTACAATGTAAAGGGGCTAGTCAGCGATAATTAGGCTCCAGATCCTCAAGATTACAATCGGTAAAATCAGAGTTCTAAGAGATGTATTTGATCCCATAATATCAGGCATACAATAAGACAAAAACCGACTAGGATTTGACTAGGAAAAGAAGAGGTAACAGGCCTATAGTATTGGGCGGAGCCTACTGTTCATTAATTAGTAAGGGTTTTGGTTCTTTTTCCCTTTAGAGCAGATTTTTTTTTCTGTCATTTAGCCAGTCACTGTCTATCGTGGTGCTTATTCACCCAATTACATGTTATTGAATGCTGCATCGGTACGCAAAAAGGTGTTTTCTAAAGAGGAAATATGAAAATGCATTGCAATATAAGGCTACACACCATTTCCTTTCTAGAAAACATTTTTCCGCGTACTAAACATTGCTTAAATGTCTGTATCCCAAACCATGTTCAGAAGCTTCTGCATGCTGTTCAAAAAACAAAAGTCCTTTTGTGCTATGTGAGTTTCATACAAATATTTCCTAGTCTGTTGGACTGAATTTTGGACCAATTGTCTTTTACAGTTCTACAAGAACCTATCTACGGGGCTGAAAGATGTTGTTTGGAAAGCAGAACCTATAGATGAAGAAACAAATGGTTAGTATCAATTAGCACTCGTCTTGAGTACCAACTGCAGTTTCATGCCAAATTCTAATGCTTAGTGTAGTGGGGATATATTGTTAGCAATCGTCCTATTCGTCTATTCCTTCTTACCCTCTTGCGTAGGATTTGAGAAGACTTAGCTTGGATAATGCTCCAAATATAACCTTGACATAGTACGTACAAAGAATTCTGGCCCAAAAAAAGAAGTCAAAAAGAAAGTTGGACAGCGTTTTTACGTTTTCCCCCTCTCAAAAGCATTTTTGGCGGGTTAAAGTTGGGAAGGGCAAGTCAATGGCTTTATAGCCTAATGACATGAAAGCTCCCTGTAAATGAGGGGTTGCAAGTTTCGCTTATCAAACTGTTAGCGTCTGCCCTTCTAATTCAAAAATAAAATAAAATAAAGTCAGGAAGGGCTTCTCTGTTTTTAGGGTCTTTTTGGGAGACTTGTTTGAAATTATTAAATAACATTTCTATGAATTCCCTTTTGTACAGGTGGTGCAGCATCAAAATAGCTTTGTTTCCACATCTTCACGACTGCATGTGAGCCTTCAGGATCTTAGCTTCCTTGGATTTTTCTTTTTTGAGGGGTTCTCTTGCTGTGTCATTCTGAATGAGACAATATTATGTGTGTCAAAACACTGGAAACCAATAAATGGCACTGGTTTTAATAGCTTCTCCGCTGCGCTGGCTGTGTGTGGACACAGATTTGTACTCTTGTTTGGCTTATTTTTCAGGATTTGGAATTTTGGATTCCCCCAGGTGGCGGCAAAAGAATCCTCGTGTTTGTGAAATTCTGTGTGGCTTGGCTTGGACTTTTGTTTGGTTTGTGCCATTTCAACAACTTGCTCTTCCAAGTTCTAATCTCTATTCAAAATCGATCAGGGTTCTCTTTGTTTGTTTTATTGATTTGAAAACTAAATTAAAAACAATGAAGTTTATTAAGAAAAAGACTTTTGTTATATCTTTGAATAACTCCTTTAAATATCTAACTTCGAAGACCAATGATAACTTTGATGTATTTTATATTGATTTATTGATTGTTGTATTACTGAATTTGATATATTTTATATTTGGTTCAAAAAATTTGTAGGTAATAAAGAACAAAACACGAAACTCTTGAAACTTAATTTTAAATGTCATGAGTAAATCAGTAGATAATAAGATCATTAGTTAGATAAATTTTGCATAAAGGACATTTGGCAATGGTGGCCATTGGTCAATTTATTTCAGATTGGGTTTTTTTGGTAAGAATTAATTTAATTTTACATTGTTATTGGAAAAACTACTGAGAAATGTTGGGAAAATGTTATCGTAAGAATTATGTTTTTATCGTATAAAAAGGTTTACATTTTAGACTTTTATCCATTATGCACGATGTGAGCAAGCCTCAAGTGGCTGTGTGAGTGAAAATTTTAATTGAGAATAATTGACTTTTAGGTTTTTCAAGCAAAAGATAAAAAGGATTATTTTTTTGTGAACTAATAAATAAAAAATGATTTGAAAAGCTTAAGAACTTCTTTAAATTTCTTATAACTAATTCGTTTTAGACGAGCTTGTAATTAAATTAGATATTAAGAGAATTCCTTCAAATTTCCCCAAAGATGGATTCAAAGGTATTGGAATTTGGAAGTGACCCCCAAAGCCCCCGGGGGGGTGGTTGGGTAGCAGAAGCAAGTGCAAGTGTGCATGATTTTGTGTTTCACATTACAACGTGAATTTTACGTTGAAATTAGCGAATTTTATATTACATTGGATTATACATTATTTTAAAAAAAATATAAATCACTTCATAGATTTTTATAAATTGACTTGTATTATATGAACAAGAGAAACTTCTCAAAGCTCACATACAAATAAGAGCAGAGAAAATATCAATATTTGTTGTGTTTTTTTGCTTGAAAGGAAGCATATATTTGTGACAGATTTAACATAACTCACTAATTCCAAAAAATAAAAGGGAAGAGTATTTTAGCTTTACGACTCAAAGCATTAAAACAAACAATCCAAAATCCAATATTCTACATCATAATATTATTTACGAGTTACATATATTATGAGAGTTCAAACACTTTATTATTACACACACTTCATTCTATTCTTACTATCTAAACTAGCCTAGCTAGCTTGTTGGAGTAATTTTGATCTAAGTTGTGATAAGGATTAGTAGGTATTTTAAAAATTGGAACTAATCATAAAATAATTTACTAAGTTTTAATTTACAAATAAGATTGATTTTTTTTCGGATTTTATAATCAAATTACAGAAAATTATGTAATTTCTTGACAAAATTATATAAGTATTATATGATAGTTGAAATGTTCTACAATTTTCATATTTACTATACAATAAAGACATTAAATATTTTGTATATAAATCATCATCAATAAATCAACATGCTATATTTTTAAAAAAATAACAATAGTGCTATTATTTTATTAGTTATATTGTTTTGTTAATCAATTGATTTATTTTCTTCTTGATTTTGTAGTTGTTTTTATTGAATTGAAGTAATATGAATTATTATGGGGATGAGGTATATTCAGCATCCTCAACTGTCTCTTGTAGAACATTAGGGTTTGTTGAAAGTTAGGTTCGATTTTAAATATAAAATCTTAATTTATTTTGTTTTGTCTTTTATTTTTCTTAAAATATTCTTATTGATCACTCACCAAAAATTTTTAATGTACATGATTAAAGAAGATAGTTTGTGAAAATCAACACACACGATAGTAACAAATAACTAACTTAACTATTATTTTTAATATCCTCAAATTAGTTATTTAGCTCTTATATTAAACATTTTCAAATATAATTGTTGTCTTTAAAGTTTTTTTTTTCAGGATGAATTTTAACATCACTATTAATTTTTCAAAAAGTCCATCAAATAATTATGTATTAAGCATATTAAAGTATTTTCAGCAATTTTTTAAAATGTTTGATGCACATAAAAGCATTTTTGAATAAACACAAAATACTGAGAAAATACTTTAACGTTTAATCAGTTAACCTTACCCAAAAGGATCCGAATGTCCAAATTCAAATGGACATTGCTTCCATGTCATCAGCAAACCTCTCATTCTCGGAGGCACGCGCTGACACTCGCCTATATAACGAAGCTCGCATCCCGCGTACGCAGAATTCCATTGCTTCGAAAATAGAGAAAGCGAGAGAGATGAGAGAAGAAGTAATCAGCTCCGGGGGCACCGTTGATCCCACAGCTAGGTACCTACTACCCCCCCTTCTCTCTGCCTCTCTCTCTCTCTATTCCTCAGGTTCACGTAATTGTGCAAGCAAAATATTGTAATGCTCTCTTATTAGGGTTTCAATCTACATTCCAGTTTTGAGATTTTTCTGTTTTGCCTTTGGGATTTTCAATTAGCTTGGTTTGGCTAAATTTCTAAGATTTAAACTTGAATTGGATTGTAAAAAGCTAATTTGATGGTTGCTGTATGTGGTATGAGTCTCTTTTGTTGGTCCAATGGTACTGTGGTTGCTTCTGCTGATGGAAAACTGGATCTAATGGAAAAGCATCGCTTGCTGTTTGTGTTATTGGCTTTTAGCCATTTGTCTGGACGTTTGGACTTGGTCAGAGAAGTTGTTTAACTGTTTAAATGAAATTTTTGGAGCCAACTCTCACCTTGAATGTAGGCATCATGCATACTGTTGGACGGTAGTCCTGGATAGTGTGGCAGGTTCTAAATTACCCTGCTGGATTGGGTCTTCGTTTGTCGCTTATTCGTTGCTCATGAAATTTTTGCTTGCACTTGATATAAATGTTCGGTTTTAGCCACTGACTGAGTTATCTTTTCTGATTCCAATTGTTGGAAGCAAAACAAATGAAACTTAAACTTTCTTGATAGCTCGACATTCCCTGGTTTACTCAAACTTCATATGGGTGACCCCGTATTGAATGTCTTAACATCCAGCGTCTGGAGTGTAAAATGAAGGCCTCCATTTTTACCTCATCACCATACGAAATTCCTCTTTTTTGATGTGGTTCATGTCATTAGGAAGATTGATGGTTGCCTGATTGGAAAGCTATTATAAGACTGTTCGTAGGGCCATTTCCCCCAATGTTTGCATGCTTATATACTGTAGGTTCATTTTTAATCCCTTTTTTGGTAATCTTCTATATATAATGTTTCAAAAGTGAAACATGACTTTCTTAAGCAGTTAAATATTAAAAAATATAATATATTCTGGTGAATTCATTTTCATATAGAATGATAGGTCATGTAGAAAATCAGACGTGAAGCTGTATGGGACTTTATGGAATGAAAATGCAAAATAGTTATATGTGAGCTGTAATTTTATTTAGGCCCTGTTTGGCATCACTTAAATAACATATAAGCGCGCTCTAAGACAAAACTCTTTTCACATACTTACTTGTATTTCATAAATCAAGATTGAAAAGCTGTTTATAAGCCATTCTAAGCGGGCCTTTAAGCAATAAGTTTCTTAAATTTTTGTGGATTTGAACTCCTACCAAAGCTTGCTTTTAAGTCAGAATGACTTTTGTATGTGGGATGTGTGGTTGGTGGCATTAAATGTTAGTATCTCGTAAGAGTATTTGATTATCATGCCTAGCTATCATTTACTTTTTTTATTGTAATTCCTGGAAAGACTAATCATACATACATTTTATCAGTTCTGCTGCGGCATCCTCACCAGCTGTTCCAGTAAATGTTGGCAGTTTAGATGGATCAAGTCATGGGCAAGGCTCCAAAGCAGCTTCTCTTTCTTGTGTTGGTTCGCAACCACCATGGACTTCCTTGAGCACAAGTGCTGGGGGTTCTACTTTTGGGTCGTCAAGACCTTCATGTAGGCCCTGGGAAAGGGGGGATTTATTAAGGCGTCTGGCAACGTTTAATCCATTAAACTGGCTTGGGAAGCCTAAGGTTTGAACTTGACATGGTTTTCCAAGAATAAGTATATTATTGTCACAATTATAATGGATATTTAGGTATCCCTCATTTTTACCACATTTTGATTGGTTGGTCTCTGATAATTGATGCGTTTTGCGTCTTCAATTCATTGTGTTTCCTTTATAACATTCAATTATTTGTTAGTCCTCATGCAAAATGCAATCTGCTTGCTATGTTAATACACCAAGCCTATAGTGTTGTACAATCCAAATCACTGTTATTTGTCACGGTTTTTCAACTTTTTTTTTTTAACTGAGAATAGTGATCTTGCTTTTTCTTCCCATCCTTTGATCTGATTATCTGTCTCGCTTTGGTCTCTTGATTTCTTTTGGCTAGTGATTACTAGCCCTTGAAATGACTCATTTAATGTCTTGGCTTTGAGAGAGGAAGTGGGAACAGAAAGAAGAAAATTAATTCATTGCTCAAATGGTGCAAGAAAATTTCCCATTTTATGTTTTTTTTTTTTTGGGAAAAAGTTATGAAGCCAACTTAAATATCAAAGCAACTTTTTTCTTTCTACAGAAATATTAACTAGAATGTTTGCTATCAGGCAATGCACCATTAATTCTTCTCACGCACTGGTCTTTATGATGCATTTCTGCTTTCTATGTTTGTGATATATGCCCTGTGGTGGTTGCATATCATAAAAATGATAGTTCTTACTCTCTCATGGTTTGTGGGCTACTCTTGTATACTTGGTATCCATGAGGGCACTGATACATTATTTATTTTGGGCGATTTCTCTTGTAAATTTGTGAAGGATCTGGAAAACTCATTCAAACTGATATACTGTTACTTCATTTTCTTTTTCTAGCAAGATTTCCTGCCTCCTTTTTCTGCGGTTTCTTTAAATGAATTCTTCTTTTGAAAAAAAAAAAAGACAGTTTGAAATGCTTGATCCAGTCAAAATTTTGGCTCATAGAGCTCTCGCATAGTTTGTGTGCTACTGTTGTATACTTGGTATCCATGATGGTGCCTATTTATTTAGGGGGCTTTCTCTTGTGAATTTGTCATTCTTTCTAGTATTGTTTCACATTTTCCCCATCCATAAGCTATAGCCTGATCTCTTTGATTATATTCATCACCATGGTTTGGACTTGCATTTTGATTTGGGCTTTTTGCTTGGCCAATGCCTTAATTTCTTCCAGATCATCAGCTCACTGGCTTGTGCTCAAAAAGGTTGGATGAATGTTGGTGTTGACAAAATTGCATGTGAGTCATGTGGTGCATGCCTGAGTTTTGCATCATCATCATCTTGGACATCAGAGGAAGGTTAGTAATTGCAATTTAAATATGTCAATTTACTTCCATTTGCTTTTGAAAGTTTATTGTTTCTTAGGTGAGGTGTGTGAGAATAACCAGGGCAAGGATTGCAAATAATATTCATTACCTTTAGGTGGACCATGGATGTTAATGAAGGTTCAATTTGATTCAGGCGCCCCTTAATTTATATAAGGAATATCTGAAGTCAATTATGATGCAGAGAGTTTTTTGAGAAGTTATAGGATCAGGATGAACTTCTCCATGGTTAAAATGAGCGTTTCTTTAATTTAATTTCTGTCTTTTGTTAACCAGTAAATGAACGAATATAAATATACTTGTAATCAGGCTTGTGTAATGTGTATGCTTAACAGTGGCGGCAGTGCTGCTGATAAATGAACGAATATAGTATGAAGATGAACCTAGTATTAATGGTTCATAATGATGGAATAATATCTGATCCCATACTAATGATACAGATTATATTATTTACATTAGTGAGAGATTATTCTAATAATATCTTTACAGCTGCCTTTATGGGCCTCCTTTTGTCAAAAGTCCAATATAACTCGTGATGCATAATTTGTATCCTATGAATTGTAATCCAATATTTGATATATCCTATATTATTTGGCTGATATATGTATAGGGAAAATTGCATTAAGGTCCCACTCTAGAGAATTAAATACAAAAAAGTCTCTTGAAACCACCATATTAATTTGAAGTTCCAAAGGATCTCATTGCAAGAAATTTACTAGTTCAATTACTAAATTGCCTTCATTTTTTTATTTATTTTAAGTATGCATTGTCAACTAAAGGGATAATCATTAACAACTTAAGATGCAATAATTAATAACTATCGCTGCAGGAATTAACACCCCATGCATTACATTTTTGTGATGCGTTGAGAGAATGTGTTGTTGATACCTGCCGTGATAGTTGTTAATTGTTGCACTTGAATTTGTTAACGACTACCTTTTCAATTATTAATACATACTTTAAAAGAAAAAATGAGGGGATTTAGTAATTGAACAAGTTGAATCTTTTACAATGACGTCCTTGGGACTTCAAATTAATTTGATGATTTCAAGAGATCTTTTTATATTTAATTCTCTTGGGTGGGACCTTGATGCAATTTTCCCATAAATATATTGCTATATTTTGGTATAATCTCTATTTGAGATTAATGCTGGGTACTATTTGTCCCATCAAATATCAGATTTCATAGTTTTAGGTTAGTCATCAAATATAGTAGCTTTTATAAATAATAGTCAGATTAATATATCATGGCACTTGTTCCAAGGTTCCCAAAGCACGGGGCAGTTTCAACTTTCAATTTAAAGAATCGACAGCTTTAATGCTTCCTAACTAGTTTTCCAAACTAACTTTATCTGATAATGTGGAAAAGAAACTTATCTTTTGTTATTGCTGATTGTATTCTTCCGTGTTTGTTAACTTTTTTTTAATGGTTGAAGCTCAAAACGCCCGTGAGTCCTTTGCCGGGCAGCTGGACTCAGGCCATACAGCTAATTGCTCATGGAGAGGTAATAGCTGTCCAGAAAGCTTGGTGCAGTTCCCTCCAACTCCTCAGTCTGCATTAATTGGTGGGTACAAAGACAGATGTGATGGGCTTGTGCAGTTTCAGCATTTACCTGTTGTTGCACTCTCTGCAATTGAGTTAATGCATGCTTCTCGAGGCCCACAGATTGATCGCTTTCTGTCACAGTCACAGTCACAGTCTCAGAATTTTATGCTGGCAGAAGTAGAAATCAAACCAGAGATTGTATCAGAACTTGAAAACTCTCGAGATGAGGCATACTGCCTATTTTCTCGCGTAAGAATTTCTATAAATTCTGTCCTTGTAGTTGGCAGTTAACTTTGTTATATATATATTGTTATTTTCTTCTTGCATATCTTCCTTTTGACAGGCACAGAAGCTTATAAGCCTTTGTGGGTGGGAACCAAGATGGCTTTTAAACGTTCAGGATTGTGAAGAACACTCAGCTCAGTCTACAAGAAATGAACATTCGTTTGGCCCGGGCCAGACTCAGCTCCATCTTACTCAGGATTCTGGACCAAAAGCAGTTTCTGCTTCTGCTAAACCGGACTCCAGAAAGACTAAGGTGTCTCGAAAGGAGTCTAGACCTGAACCTAGGTCACCTTTGCTTGATTGTAGCTTATGTGGAGCTACAATTAGAGTTATGGATTTTTTGACTGTCCCTCGCCCTTCTCGTTTTGCTCCTAACAGCATAGATATTCCCGAAACTAGCAAGAAAATGGGATTGACCCGTGGAGTGAGTGCAGCAAGTGGGATAAATGGTTGGGTTGCAGCTGATGATACAGAGAAAGATCAAACTGAAGACCGTGATGAAGTGACAACAACCAATGAAGGGAAATTTTTTACTAATACAGACGTAGACTTGACTCTTTCTATGGCAGGGGGTTTGCCATGTGCTTCATTGGGAAGGATAGCAACATCTGAAAAAAGTCATGATGTAGATATGGGAAGGGATTTAATGATTGGTCAACCTTCAGGGAGTGAGATTGGTGATCGTGCAGCTTCATATGAATCACGAGGTCCAAGCTCTCGTAAGAGGACTCTTGAAAAGGGTGGAAGCTCAGATGATAGGCCATTCCTTGGGTTGCAGCAGCAGGCTGATAGCGTTGAAGGAACAGTCATTGATTGTGATGGTGATGAGGTTACTGACTGTAGACAATATTCAGCTGGTCCTTCAAAACGTGCTCGTGACACTGATGTTTTTGATTGTTCTCACCAAAGAGATTCATCTGGGGCTGGTCCTAGCCATTCAGTGGGTTTTGATGCTTACACTGAAGGCAATCGGGTTTCTTCGTTGCATCAAGAGAATGACCGCCTTATGGGAATCCAATCAGCTAGGGATTCAACCTGTGCATCATCTGTCATTGCAATGGATATAGTATGTCATGACGTAGATGATGACTCTATGGAAAGTGTTGAGAACTACCCAGGAGACTTTGATGATGCTCATTTTCCCTCCTCTAGTAATGTGGACATGAACGAGACATCAGAACTGAATAACAGCAATCAAGTTCAGCAGAGCATTTGTTTGCAAACAGCTACTGAAGTTGCCCCAGGTGAAATGGGTGTAAGTAGTACAAATAATGGGGAAGAAATTTTCAATGCAGAAACTGTTCAGGCTCGAGATGGAATTAGTTTTGGTGTTAGTGGAGGGAGTGTTGGAATTTGTGCTAGTCATGAAGCTGAAATTCATGGAGCAGATATATCTGTACATAGAACAGACAGTGTTGTTGGTGACGTGGAACCTAGAGTAGAAGATGGTGAAAACCAGGGCCAAACTGGTGAATCTACTCCAGATCCTGGTTTAATGGATGAGATTGTCCCTGATATGAACAGGGAAGATCCCAATGGTGATAATCAGGAGATGTTGTCTCACTCAGCAGCCAGGACAGACAGCGGATCAAAAATTGGTTGTACCACAAAGGCTGAGTCTGTTGAAAGTGGTGAAAAAATTAGTCAAGATTGCAATATCCCTCCTGCAAACAGTAGTCATCCATCCCGTTCTTGCAATGTTATTGTGAATTCTGGTTTTGGACACACTAAGGAAGAGATTGTGAAGGATGGCAAATCGTCATTCACCAACAATTGTACTCACCTTGAGTCAGATTTTGCTAATGCCAATGAGATAGGTAAGTTCTTTCTTAAGGATTTTGAAAATGTTTCATCTCCCCATGATCACTTTCACGTCTCAAATGCATGTATCTTTTGAATCTTGAAATGGTGTCCTGAAGCTCATTTTTCTCCCTTCTCTGTCCTTTTGCTTTATTCCATTCTCCACCTTTCATTGGGAGAAAAAAAGTAGGATGTGGATATTTGGTCTGAGTAGCTATCACCAACATTTTTAAGTAGGTCCAAATTGATAACGAGTCAGGGAATAATTGTTGAAGCCTTTTGCTATCTCCCTATTCTAAAATTTTTATTTATATGAAGTGTTAGAATATAGAATTAGTTTGTCTTCTTAGTTGCAAATTGGTTGTTCCTCAAGATATACGAAGTTTTCTCTATAAATAACACGAGTCCATTGATATCAAGGCTTTTCAAAGTCTGCTCTCTCTCTCTCTCTCTCTCTCTCTCTCTGCACAAACACAGCCCAATTAAATTCAAGGGATTGGAAAACAGAATAAATCACCTTTTAGTTATCTGTCAAATGTTTAGAAAATTGCAGATCTACACCCTTATTATCGGTATGTAATTAGTAGTGCCAAGATGCCATCCACCCTATTAGCACTAAGTTGGTTGCCTTGTATTGAAAAGAAGGATTGAAGGAAAATAACGTCTTACTCTCTATTCTGTAACTTGCCGTTGGGAAGGAATAGTTCTTTCTCTGACTTGAGAGTTGAGTCCATTATTGAGAGGTTCCCTCGGTTGGTGTAGTTGTGCTTCTGTCCTTTAATCTTTTGGCTGCATATGACTAGTCTCAGTTTCAAAGGTTCCTCATATGTATACTACCATACTAACACACTACGAATGTGGTTGTATCCCTTTATTCTAATTCCATTCTAAAGTCCTTCTGAACTTTATTCATTAATTCCTGAGTGTGTTGGGACCACAGCAACTTACATTGTTCAATTATTTAGGCCCTCCAAAAGGAGAAAGCAACTATGAGGAAGCTCCAGAGTTTGATCCTATTGTCTATCACAACCAATATTGCCCTTGGGTGAACGGAAATGTTGCTGCTGCTGGGTTTGATAGCTCTAATCCAAGCGCCGGCGCTGACGCCATTGCACTTTGTGGCTGGCAACTGACATTAGATGCTTTGGATGCTTTCCGGTCCCTGGGGCTTAATGCAATTCAGACGGTACCATCTGAGTCTGCTGCTTCTTTGTACAAGGTGTGTTTGACTACTCGCTTCAATTGCTTTCTGTTTATCACCCCTCCCTTCAAAATAGAATTCCTTTTTCTTTATGATCCGTTTTACTGTAATAATTTGTGTCCGTGTAATGCCATGTGCGTGAATTCCTTCATACAGGATGATCAGCAAGTTCCTGGTCAAAAGCTCCTTCGACACCCTTCCATGAGCAGAAGTCACGGGCAACTTTGAGATCTCAGTCCGTTATTGGTGTTTCCATTTGCTTGTAAGTTGATTATGTCATATCTAATTAGTCATTTGCCCATTGTTATCTTTGCCTGACAAATCTTAGGGGCAGTTTAAGTGGTGTTTGTAACTAAGTTCTCAGTTCTCGGATAAAAAGAGGATTTCTTCTTTTTTTTTAACTTGTAAGAAACTTTTCTAGCCAAAAAAGAAAAATCTAATAACCTTTATACAAGTTTTGTGCGATTTAGGCTGCAAACTTGTAATGGAATTTATTATCTTTACCAACTTATTGTATAAACATTAAAGTTTCACTAGTTGCTGTTTGATGAAGCTGTGGTGATGTCTTGCTGATATTCTCTTTTTATTCCCATTATTCATGCAGATGTTATATGAGTTATAATGGTCCAGCGGAACTTGGATAATTCTTGTGTTAATCTGTTGGGCCAATGATGGACAAGGCTGATTGGATTTTATTAAGCAATATCTACCTGCTTCAAAGGCATGTGTTATTATAGTCAAGACTTGTGAGCAATGAACTGTAAATTATGAGAGACATTGGGTCTTATGACACAATGGCATGCGAATTTCTGCACATTCAAAGTATGAGATTTTAATGTGGGAAATGTTTAATAAATCATGGTTTCTTTAATGTCATATAGCTTTTAGGCTTTGATTCTTTGAAAGATATATATGGATTGTATCATGCTGAGTTGTTGAACCATTTGCAAGGGATAGGAATTTTTCTAAAGCACTTGAATGTTATTGACCAAGCTAAAAAGGTACTGAAATAATAGAGCCAGTTTTCATTGTTTACTTTCTCAGTGTAGTCTTAGTTTCCATGATTATTAATTGAGATTAATTCAGCCATTCCTCTTCGATGCGTTGCTGTTGCTGAATCCAATTATGCTTTCATAGTTTATTTACATTTTACTTGCAGTCCTTTTTTAATTAAGGGAAAAGCAAACTAAAAAAAAAAAAAAAAAGACAAAGGAAAGAAACCATGTTGACTGATGGACGTGACGTGAATGTGGGCATCTTGCCTAAAAATGAAAGCTGGTACGCCGCTTAGAAGTACTGTGGCGAATGGGTGATTAATAAGTGATTTTTTGAACTGAGAAATTAAAAACGAGGAATTACATGAAAATTTTTGGGCGTCCTACGACTGAGAAGAACCTGTATACAATAGAAATTTTAAAATTTATAACTTCAACTTGTATAACTGAGAGGCTTTTATTTTATGTTAATTTTCTTATGAGATTCTTAATTATTATTTGTCTTACGAAAAAAACATTATTTTGCCTTTTAGTTTACAATTAAACCGTTGAGATTCTTAACTTTCTACCTAAGGATTCAAATTAAATAAACATATATTAAATAATATTGAAATATACAATTAGTTTTAAAGATTAAGTTTTATTATCAAATTTTAGTAATTTACTACATTTAAAAAAAAAGAAATGTCATTTAATTCTAAATATTTATTATAAGTTCTTTTCTTTTTGCCAACTTATGATAAATTCTTAAAATTGAAAAATATTTCTTAGTTTTTAAATATCTTTTAAAATTTTTATTTTTATTTTTATTTTTATTAAATTCGAGACATCAAATATGTTTTTATATGGAAAAATATGACAAGGCGTTGGCCAGAAAAAATATGACAAGGAATGGGAACAATGGAACACCGATTCCATCAAAATGACAATCTATGAAATCCATTTTCAACCAATCAAATTCAAGAAAATCCCCCACGTGTCATCCCACAATAGTGCAACATCTCGACGATAACATGTATGAGCCGAAGATACACATACACATGCGCGTTCACACCCCCTTTCTCCAGTCTCTGTCTCCGCCATGGCTCCCGCCGGAGCCACCGCTCTTCACTCTTCCCTCTGCAGCTTCTCTTCTCACAAACCGTTGTCTCCAAATTCCCTGCAACCAAACACCCAGTTGGGTCCCAAACCCAAAAGCCTCCTCCAAAAGCACCCACTCTATACTCCAACACACACCAGACTCTCCCTTGAATTCAAAGAAAAAATTCTCTGCCTTGAAATAATGGGTGTTGATTCCGGCAAGGCACTTTCAGTAAACCCTGATCTCAGAACTGCAACCATGGAATCCATCCATTCCATCATCTCCTTCCTTCATTCCAAAGGCATCCAACAGAATGACTTACCCAAGATTCTGGGTATGTGCCCTAAGATTCTCACCTCCAGCATCAAATCTGAGCTTAGCCCAGTTTTTGATTTCCTCTCTCTGGACCTTAAAGTCCCAGATCATAGCTTTAGGAAGGTCATTAACAAATGCCCAAGGTTGCTCACTTCAAGTGTCAAAGACCAGCTCAAGCCAGCTTTGTTCTACCTTCAGAGGCTAGGGTTCAAGAATATGTCAGCCCTGGCTTATCAAGATTCTGTCTTGTTGGTTTCTAATGTAGAAAGGACTCTCATTCCTAAACTGAAGTTTCTGGAGAATCTGGGGTTTTCAAAGGAAGAAACAAAAGATATGGTGTTGAGATGCCCAGCATTGTTGACCTTTAGTATTGACAATAATTTCCAGCCCAAATTTGAGTATTTTGCTGAGGTAATGGGCAGAAAGTTGGAGGAGCTGAAGGAATTTCCTCAGTATTTTGCTTTTAGCTTGGAAAACAGGATAAAGCCTAGGCATATGGAAGTTGTGCAAAGTGGCATCAATATGCCTTTGTCTTTGATGCTTAAGAGTACTGATGATGAATTTAGGGAGCTCATAAAGCAGAAAACTGGATGACAATGGTGAGAGCTGATGTATTATTACTAAAGATAGTTTGGTCTTTAATCATTAGAGGTTGGGTAAGTGCATATGAAAAGTGAGGTCGGTGTCAATGAAAATTGTGTTAATATGTTTATATATGTCTTCCTCGGTGGTTTGATTTACTTGTCTTTGGTAATCTGTGTCTTCTTAAAGAATTTCTTGCTTCATATATTATGTTCTATAATTGTAAATGTATATGAATGCTTGCTGTCCACATGATATTGAGACTCTCAATCAATGTCTCCTCAATTTGTGTCAAATTTTTGCCAGCCCTTATTTTGCACTTGTGGACTATCAGCTAATGATCCATTTGTAGTTCGAAGAAAATTTCCTGAGAATTTTTAGACATGAACGGTCACCCAAAGGGATTGTGAATTCTTCATTACATGAACCACATGTTGTTTGTGATCCTAAGCATTGATCTTAAACTTTGACCATTTGACTACACATAGGCACTTTTATATTATACTCTATTTCTATTTACGAGTTATTCTGTGAAAAGAGGGCAATTTTGAGATAATCAATTAACATTAACTAATATTTTAAATTTACATGAATTAGTTAAAGGTAGAAATAGATAAAATACAAGTTGTACTCTATTCAGTGCCTGTTTGGAGTCATGTTTAAGTGGCTTTTAAGTAGTTTTTGGCTTTTAATATGTTTGAGTGTGTTTGGAAGAGCTTAAAAAATTAAAAGCTTATGTCAAAATCATATGCTTAAGCCAAAAGCTAAAAATTACAGCTTATAGAGTTGGAAAAGTGGAGAGAAAAAGATAAAATGTGGGTCCTATTTTTTTCACTTAAACAAATTTCTTTTTACTCAATCATAATCTAAACAACCTTTTACCAATTTCATTTTTATAAATTTTTTTAAATTACAATCCAAATACAATTCGCCTTATTCAATTTAACTTTTACCGAATCTTACTTTTTTAAAAATTAGATTAGAAATAAGCTATTTTTTCTACCCCTAATCCAAACAGACTCAAAATTGGTCTTATGAAGTTGTGCTTTGGTAATCATGTGCATTGTTTATTAGCTTCTCTTTCGTTCAACAATAGGTTTAAGAGAGTAACTGGGAGATTTTGTTGTGATCAAGCTAAGTGCCATAGCAACATGACATCAGACGATGATCAATATTGAATATAAAATATAAAATTTATATCAATTTATATTGTACATAAATTGTGAATAATACAATTCATGTTTTAGATTTCTATGCGACGCATTAATCCATTCAGTAATTCATAAAATCATCACACAACAGTTAAAAGCCTTTATTATGTTAAAAGAGAATGATATTTTTGTTGTTGTTAGTTTTTACTCCTTGATCAGAATAGTCCGGAGATTAATTGACATGATCACATTGTTGTTTACTTTAAGGAAACCCTATACGAAATGCATTAGGATGCTAAGGCTGTATTTGAATCCATGGATTACGTAATTAGTTGTTTCAGTCAAAACCGCATTTTGTAGGGGAGCTAGAACATAGTTCCAAATAAGCTCTAAAACACAGAATCATGCTTATCTACATATAGAATAACCAGCAGTGAAAAAAAAAGGGTAAAAATAGAACATGCTTTCAGAAAATTCAAATCTAAGTTAAACATGTTTAAAAAGTCCAAAGAAAAAAAATTAAGGATACAAGTAAATAAATTAATAATTCCTTGTTTCCATGTCATGATATTGAGACTCTCAATCGATGTCTCCTCAATTTGTGTCAAATCTTTGCCAGCCCTTATTTTGCACTTTTGGATTATCAGCTAATGATCCATTTGTAGTTCGAAGAAAATTTCCTGAGAATTTTTAGACATGATGTTGTTTGTGATCCTAAGCATTGATTTTAAACTTTGACCATTTGACTACACATAGGCACTTTTATATTATACTCTATTTCTATTTACAAGTTATTCTGTAAAATCTATTAACCAATTAAAGTTATTTGTGAAAAGAGGGTAATTTTGAGATAATCAATTAATATTAACTAATATTTTAAATTTACATGAATTAGTTAAAGGTAGAAATAGATAAAATACAAGTTGTACTCTATATAATTGGTCTTATGAAGTTGTGTTTTGGTAATCATGTACATTGTTTATTAGCTTCTCTTTCGTTCAACAATAGGTTTCAGAGTATAAGTGGGAGATTTTGTTGTGATCAAGCCAAGTGCCATAGCAACATGACATTAGACGATGATCAATATTGAATATAAAATATAAAATTTATATCAATTTTTATTGTACATCAATTGTGAATGAAACAATTCATGTTTTAGATTCTATGCGACGCATTAATCCATTCAGTAATTCATAAAATCATCACACAACAGTTAAAAGCCTTTATTATGTTAAAAGAGAATGATATTTTTGTTGTTGTTAGTTTTTACTCCTTGATCAAAATAGTCCGGAGATTAATTGACATCATCACATTGTTGTTTACTTTAAGGAAACCCTATACGAAATGCATTAGGATGCTAAGGCTGTATTTGAATCCATGGATTACGTAATTAGTTGTTTCAGTCAAAACCGCGTTTTGTAGGGGAGCTAGACCATGGTTCCAAATAAGCTCTAAAACACAGAATCATGCTTATCTACATATAGAATAACCAGCAGTGAAAAAAAAAGGGTAAAAATAGAACATGCTTTCAGAAAATTCAAATCTAAATGAAACATGTTTAAAAAGTCCAAAGAAAAAAAATTAAGGATACAAGTAAATAAATTAATAATTCCTTGTTTCCATGTCATGATATACAAGTCAAACACTAAGAGTGAAAAAGCAATCAAATGCCTTCTTAACTACTTTCAAAATATTACTTACAAGAGCCTCAAACAACTTATGATACAATCATAACCAAACAAAACAGTAGATCAACCTGTCAACTATTTGTACAAAGGAGCTTCTATCTTCATTTTTTTTTATGTGTATTTTCTGCGCGTAACAAACACTTCAATCATAAAATGTTTCTTTCTCATATACGTGTACGACTTGATATTCTCAGGAACTAAGAGTCATCCTCTAGTTAAAAAGAAACATCTTCAGAAACGAATGCAGCCCATGCATCCTGCAATGAACAAACAAGACACAAACTCACTCATAAGCGATTGAATCAGAAACTTGATGGCACGACTTAGTGATTTGTAGCAAGATATTAAGTCAACAGAAGTCTCTATTTGATCCTCTAAGAATAAGTATAACTATGAATTTGATACTGTCTTCTTTGAGCACCTGGAATTCTGAAAATATGGTTTCATCCCAATTTTACTCCTCTCAAGGTAAAAAGATGCTAGACAAACCTCCAAAGATCAGATATGCTATGTAGTTGGAACAAAATTTTACCCTCAGGAACTAAAAGGATACAAATATTGTATGGAGGATTAAATTGATAAAGAATAATGATGTCAACTTTAAATGACACAAATTTACATACCTGAAGAATGGAGAAAGCCTTCTCTGCTATATACTTGTGTTTCTGGGTTGCTCCTCGCTGCTGAAGTTTGTCCGGGTGGAGACATAATCTTGCTTTTTGATAAGCCTTCTTCACCTGTGAGCTTTCTATCAGGTTCATGAGAGGAATAGCGCACCAGCCGCTCTCGGGCCATAGAATCTAGAAATGAAAACAAAAAACCACGTCAATAATCTATGATCTGCATGCCTTCAAGCCTCCAAATGCGAGAATAAATTCATGGAAAAAAAATTATACACAGTTCTTTTTGGGTTTGTTGTTAAGCTCTTCCACATGACTACGAGATGCAGGGAAACTTTTTTGAATGAACGAGTCATTTACTAAAAATGACCAATTGTCGTCCTTTTATTCAAGAACTTAGCAGCATATCCTAAAAAATGGCACCCTTGTAACCTTAAATTACGTGACGTGTAACTAGTTGAATGTGAAAGACAAGAAGAAATTAGCGTAAAAGGAAGTCTTACGTAATGTAATGTTGAAAGAAGTAGCCGGATGTCAGTTTCCTTGCCTGATGACCACGATCTTATATCTCCGTCCAACTTCTCTGTTTCCACCTGTGGCTTCTGTTATAATAGCAGAACAATCAATCCAAAATCTTTATACTCAGGAAAAAGGAAAATAGTTTACGGAATAGGTGGAATATCCATAAACAAATGATTCGCTCGGCCATGGATGGAAGTTTCTTCAACTTCCTGATATGAAACACGTTATTTGCGTTATAATGTGCACTCATCCTCTTTAATAGAATGCCTTATAGAACAATCCAAAAGGCATGATCTAAAGCAGGGCAAATTAAATATCTTGTTCAAGAATTTGTTAATGACTACACTATCAGGGTTCTAGTTTATGAGCGAAGATCCTTTTTCAAGACCTTGTTTATCATTGCATCTTAGCAAGTTTTTTATCTGTAATATGATGTTCATTTACGTGCTTAATACGCTAAATTACCTTCAGGGATTGAATTGTTGCAGTTGCTTCATCATGGTAATCACTTGCATCAGGTTGATCCCCTTTTGTTCCAGCGCCTCGCTCATCACCATTATTTCTCATGTTTGAATCTTCATCAGAACTTCGCGTTTGGAACTTCTCTTTGGCCCATGCAATTGCTTCATCAATGGCTGTAGATCCACTATCTTCCTCTTTCAGGCTAGGGTTTACCTCTATGACATAAGAGCTCATAACTTCATCATCATCATCATCATCGAAATCCTGTTCTATAATTTGTTCCGGATGCACGTGATGCTGAACTGCAGATTTTGCCAGCTCAGATTCTTGACAAAGTGAAGAGACAGCAGAAAATGGTGAATTTAGCTCCCAGTCATCAACGGATACTTTGATAGTCTGATATGAATTGGTTTCAAGGCTAATGGTTTCTGGGGATGAGACTCTCTTTGAGAATCCTAAATGGGAGCTTCTGAAGTTGTCCTTGTACTCATGATCCTGATATTGAACTTCAAATAGTTGACTGTTACTTGGAAAAATTGGCCTCCCTTCTTTATTCAAGTGTTCCTCAGGCATCGTGGTGAATGAGTTCCATCTACATGGGACATTAATAGGCCTGTAAAAATCAGTAAGAAGCAGTCTCAGGACCAAATTCCTGACTTGCATCAAACAGCTAAATGTTTGACTTAAATGATTTGCTAATGCACAATACTCAAATTCCATGCAGTTTCTTTGGTGTTCTGAAAATTTTTTTACTCAGTAATACATTATCTAGTCTTTTAAAGAAGTTCCCTACAAGCTGCATGCAAGTTTTCTCCATTGCTAATGCTAATTCATCAAGTGATTTGTTGGCAAAAGCTGCTAAATCCCATTTGGAATGGTTTATCAATAGCTTTTCAATCGTGATTTATGAAATATAAGAAGTAAGAGGAATTTTATCTCAATTTATGTAAAATGTGTTTATAAGCAGTTACTTTTATCTTGTTAAGTTAAATTGCCTGCATATCTGTTGCCTAGGCTCTAAAATCTATTTTACCAGTTTATTTAACATTAGATAATAACAAAAAGTTATTTTTTTCCATATAAAATCTCCAGCTTCACAGTTAGCTCTAGTTTTAGCTAGCTGCTCTAATGAATGTCTAAACTTCTTAGGGTTCAAATGGAGATTTTAGCCTTTAAGATTGCTTAATGGAAAAATTCCTCCTTGCTGGTTAGTGGTTTCCCGAAGTGCTTACTGATGGTATTTCTGCAGATATACCAATGGATAAAGGGCATAAATGTCAATTAACGAGTAACAGAATGATCAGAGTGCCAGAGTGGTTTGTTTGTTGCAGTACAGGACCAGTACCAGTACCTGAGCTTCGAAGCAAAGACGGACAATGCCACGTCATCGCCGATCGCTGGCCGGGCTGGGCTTAGCTCCTCCGAACTCAGTACCGAGGATGAGTTCGACTTTGCCTTTGAGTGCGATCCTGATCTTTCTCTCGATTTCCGGTCATCGTCCGACCCGAAGATATCGCTGTAAAATCCCTCGTTCTTCGTCGGGATCCTGAAGACCGGCAGGTTTCTTCCACCTTTACTCGCCGGAGAAAGGAATTCCGGCGGACGGAAAATCTCCTCGTAGAATGAACTGGACCTCGGGAATTTGTGTGCCAGGAGGCTTCTCGGTGGACCTCCAAAGACGTCAGCGAAGTCTTCCGGGTCTAAGTTTTCCGATTCGCATCCGCTGCCGCCGCCGGAGAAGATGGATCGCCTAGAACGGGAAGACGACCTATCCTCCATGGACCGCCGTCGAGGGAGACCCGGCATTAACCCCATGCGCATCCTCCATGACTCATCCATTTGCAGCAACTCTCCTCCGCCCAACTCCGGTGACCAACCGGCTATTCAGTGGAGCAACACAGAGTAAAGCTTCTGCTTACTTTATGGTTTATATATACATAGAGAGAGAGAGAGGGTTGAAAATCATGAAACAAAGGAAAAAAAATTATTTAGGCAAAGAGATTCGTGAAAAAGCCATTGATTGACTTTTACTCCTTTCCTCATCCACCATCAAAGCACGCAAATTTCAATCAACAAATATATTTGGATTTGAAAAGTAGGATCGAAGCAACATTATTAAATACCAAAAAAAATCAAAATTATAGTTTATTAATCAATTTGAATGTATGTGAAATGGAAGAAGTGGCGAGATTTTAGAATTATGAATTAGTATTGGGGTGTTAGTGAGAATTGAGAGGAAAATAGGAAGTGGGATTGATGCAATGAGTTGTGCTTACCTGGAAAGAAGGTAAAGGATAGAAAGAAAGTGGGAAGGAACAGAATGATGAAGGTATGTTTTCTTTTGCCAGCTTTTGATTTTCTTTTTGGGGGTGGGGCATGTGTTCCTGTTCTCTGTCTTCTCTTTTGCTTGTCCTCATGCTCTCCCTCTGAAAACCCATCATTCTGTACTCTGTTCACAACGCCCTGTTCATCCAATGACGCAAATTCACATTTGTTTTTAACAATAGCAATTACCTTTAGATTGTGACATGTGTAATCTCATTTTCAACATGTTTTACCCAACTCAGAGGATTTTAAAACCCATTAACCCTGGCTAAAAATTTAACAAGTTCTCGACTTTGTCCTTATGAAAGGTACAAGGGAAAAGTAGTGACAAGTAAAATTGAAGACATGCCTTGTAATTAGAATAGAAAAACTTCGTCGCTCTTTGTCTTGTAAATGAGACTAGTAGGGTACACTCCAAAGTTTTTTCCTTTCAATACATAACCTTCATTTGCCACTAATGGAAAGGGAAAGAGTTAGACCATTTAACACAAACTCTTCAATTTGAGTATTTCTCTTTCTTTTTAAATACGGTTGATATCATAAATGTATCATAACTTGGTATGGGAGTGTCTTAACAAAATGGGAGTCTCCAATAATTGCTTCTAAATGGGGGGGAAAAGCATGGAGGTGAGAGAATGAAGGATGAAAATAAAAAAAGTGAAAAAGAGGAAGGAGAGGGTGAGGGAAAGGATGATGGATACCCAAAAAGGGGACAATGCATGCATTCAATTGATTTGGGATCACAATTCTATGCTTATGCCTTACTCTCTCTCTCTCTCTCTCTAAATGTTTTGGTTAGAGAGCATAATCAATCACTTTGTTCTGTTGAGATTATCAATATCATCAATAACCAGAGAGGCATACCCTCTTTGCTTTATTTTCTTCCTCTTTCTTTTTTGTGTTTGTGAGTATCCTGTTAGGCTGTTCTCAATAATTTGATTTGTTAGAACAGAGTTCCATAAACTTGTGGCACACAGAAGCACCAATCCCATCATTGTTCAAAACATACTATCTGTTTTACCAAATATTGAAACAATTTTCAAAACCCAAAAAAAAAAAAACGAAGAAGAAGAAGAAGCATCCTATTTATTGGCCTGCAAAAGTTAGTTTAGGTCCCTCTCATGTTGATTGAATCCTTCTACTTTTGAAAAACTCATCTAGGTGCTTCAATTTTGAAATATTTTCTACTCACCCTCGTGTTAATAATACTCAAGATTATTTGGATTTTCTCCTTATCCTTTCTTTCCTTTTGTTCTCCTCATCTCATTTTTTTTTTGGATTAAAAATTGAACAATTAAGATTTTGATTACATTCATTCCTTTATTTTAATAATAATCTACGGTTAATCTATAGTTGTGAACTGCTCAAATTTTAGCTATTTAATTTTTAATCCAAAAGTAAGAATAGAACGAAGAGAAGGAAATGAAAGAAATGATTGAAAAGAAGATTTAAATCACATAGTAATAACAATAACTTACTAAAGTGACAAGTGTATGCAAATTGATGGAGTGTAATACTTCCTCCACTTTAAGATACCAATTTTGGGTTAGACACACAAATTAAGAAAGCTAATAAATAGCCTTAATTTTGACAAAATATAATGTTATTTTGCTAAAATATCTGCATCTAGAACAATTCTTCGTCATTAATAAACACTTGCCACTCTGGTCCTTAAATCACATACTCTCTTAATATAATGTGTTTCAAATTGATAAAAATTACATTTTTTTTGGCCTCATGATTGAAAAACTATCTCCTCTCTCTTCTCAATTTAAAACTTTTCTCATCATAGTAACAAAAAATAACAGTGAAAAATTATCATTAATTATCGAATTTACTTCTTATATTTTGAACCAAAAATTTTTTAAATGACTTCTTATACTACATCTGGTCCTAATTATAAAAGCTAGTTGACTAATTTGAAGAAATTAAGGAAATAAGTTCATTTAGTTATTTGTAATAAATATGTGCTGTCTTTTCTAAAATATCCTTGCTAATCAAGTGTATTAGTTAGAACTATCATTATTAGAAGGACTATCTCAGAAAAAAATGAATAAATATAAAAAATAAAGTAGATTGGGGTTTTATATTTATGATCAAAATAAAAGTCAAACAAGATCTTATATTCAGGAACGGAGTTAGTATTTTGGACTGAAAAGAATACTGAAAAAATATTAAATTGATAAATTTTTCATATTTACCTTTATTAGAGTTTTTTCTTCCACTACATTTACAAAATCATTCTCCTATCTTTTACATCTTTCTCTCTTTCCAACAAAAATTCAACAAAAATAAAATTAAAAAGCAATTATTGAATACCCAACAAGTAACTTATATTTAAAATCGAAAATTTTTTTGACCTATAATAATAAAAAGTGATATGATTTATTGAAGGGTAAATTTTTTTTTTTGGCCAATACGAAGGGTAAAATTTTCAACGTAATAATTAATGCTTCAACTAAGAATTGACGTAAACATTAAAAAAGAAAGTTATCAGTGGGAAAGATTTAGTGAATGCTATAATATTACATATGATATTCAGTAATTATTAGTACTTGAACTTTAAAATCGTACTATTCCTCTTGCTCTCTCTTGCTCATCAAATCGAAATAATGAATACTGAAAACTGGTCCAAGGAAATGAAGTGAAAAATAATCAAACTGATCAATATATATATATATATATATATAGAGCTAGGCCTAGGCGACATTATATATTTTCAAGATTAAGCATATAAGTAATGAAGCTTAACGAACCAATTAATCCTATTAATTTCAGGACTTGCAATCTTGGGGTGGTCCAAAATCATGATAGAAAAAATTACCCGAATTGTCAACTATTGAATGTGTCTAATTAAAGGCTCCATCATTTTAAGATAGGGATAATGACAGTTGCCGACCATGAAGCAATTTTAAATACAATTAGGGACCTTAAAAATCTGGAAATGACGGGTAAAATTTTTTACTATAAAATTCTTTAGTGGGAGTTAGAAATTCCAATCATGTGAATCTTTTTTTTTTCCAAAAAAATTGGCATAATAGGATAGGATTAGACAGCTGATTTAATGGTTTCATTGCAGCTCCTAAACCTGCAAGGTTGTAAATTCAATTACACTGAATATATACTTGTATTTCCTCCGATTTCATATAAGAGCACTTAAAAAAAATGCGTTTTATCCTTTTTATAAATATTCAGTTAACTTCTATTCTTAACTCTGATAAAGTTAAAATAATTTATATTGTTGACTGAGAAAATATTAAAAGTTATTTAAATTTTTTGACAAAATTAATATCTTTAATAGTTTTCATTGATACGTGTGGTTAAAATAATTTATATTTGAAATAAGAAAAAAAGCATGTAATTATTTATGAGGTAAAAAGGTGAATTTTATTTCCCCAAACTTGGTTTTAACTAGTAAATCTGAGAGTGAAAGTTGAAGATTCATGATACGTAGTTTATAAATTTTTTTAACAAAATTTAAGGTGTGCCTTTATATTTAAGGGGTGTTTGGATGGAAATCAAATCATGGTTTCAAAAGTGATTTTACGGTCTACGGGGTAAATATGTGAAGGAATTTATCTCGATTTACGAAAAAGTATTTGTGAGAAGCACTTTTCAAGGTATCTAAACACCCCCTTAAAATTGATCCATGGTGACGTGGCTTCACCTTCAAATAATGATTATTAAGACATTAACGCTAACGCAACACTGAGGGGCCGAATCAAATCATTGTTCAGGTCCTGTTCATTGGGGCCACATTCTTCAACTCCACGTTACTCACACACCATCGTATAAGCTATAAATCCCTAACATATCTCTTTGTTGTGTTTGGTAGAAAGCATTAAAAATAAGAGATTGGGATTCAGACTGTAATTAAAAAAAATTATTAAATAAGTGTTTAATATAAAAAATTGCTTATTATATGAGATTAGTCAAACACATATATGTGGGATTAGAGAATACTATAGGAGAAGTGGTATTTCCCAATCTTATTTCTACGAGTTTGTCTAATCCTATATAATAAGTAATTACTCATGCTAAATACTATTTTAATGATTTTTTTCAATTACAATCTCAATCACAATCCCTCATTTTCAATGCTTCATACTAAACGGGACCTTAGTCACCGCTTGAGCTTGTTGATTCCATATATAGTATCACTCACTCTATGCCGATATAAAGGCTAGTACAATTGATAGAATTTGTGAGTTAAAATTTCACTGTTGATGTAATAATTTTATTAATGATTGATTTGTAAACACTCTTTAATTTAAGTGTTTAAAGTATTTCTCCAATTCTATTTATAAATTATTTCTAACATGTTTTACAAATCGTCAGAGAATTAAATTATTTATGAATTATGAATTTGTGAAATTAAATTTCAAAATAATTTTTAAAACTTTTGCACGAGTATAAGTTGATTCAAATCTTGCTTATAAATGCTTATATATAAGTGATGCCAAACAAAAGCTCAATTGAAACTTTTTCTAATGGCTCATTTGGATTTGTTTCTTTTAAATGTTTATAAATATTTTATATAAACCGAAATAAAACTCTCATCATAATTTATTTTATATTTTATAAATGGTTATTGAAAAGCTGCTTTTCAAATTTTATATCGTCATTTTAAACAAGTCCTAAATTTGCCTACCTTTTATGTTTCATAGGATTAATGCAATTTACAATTGAATCTTGGGATAGTCACTCACAAGAACAAAATTTGAAACCTATGCATTCTTAATAGAAGTTGGTAATTTTTGGTATTCTAAATGTTAAATATTTAAATTTGATTTTGATGAATAAATAATTTTTAATTTTTTCTTTGTACAGAAATTTAAAGTAGGGGTTTGAGTTCAACCCAAATAAAAAACAGGGCGCTTAAATAGCTCTTTCTAAATGATACCAGCGTTGGGTATGCCTCTCCAAACACGAAAAATCGAATTCCTTCCCTTTTGACACGAACGATTGGGTAATAGTTTTTAAATTTGATCACAGTGAATAAGTTTTCCATGAATGATACTTCACTGTGCTTCTTTTAATTTACTTATTATAACCATAAATTTGGCTTTTAGAAGCGCGAATATCAATAAGTAACTTAGATAAACACGTTGTAACTTTCATTCTCAATCACACAATCTCCTTTTCTTTTTTTTTTAGTGAAAAGTCTTTTTTTTTCCAATCACTGTTTCCTTTTTTTTCTTTTTCTTTTTTTTTTGTCATTGTATTTCCTTTTTCTTAATCATTCTTTACATTATTTTTTATGGCACATATTTTTTCATAATGAGCACGCACGCACAAGTAGATGAAAGCGAAACAATGGAGCTCTAAAGTTCTATACATACTTTCAATTTAATCATTTACTTTTAAATCATATTTTGATAAAACTTAATTAATCACAATCACTTTTATACCACTACTAAAATTGTTGCTCACTAATTAGCAAAATAAAATTACACTATACAACAAATCTCACACAATATTTTATTTACATAACAAAAAGATATAGAACCTGAGTGATATTATAAAATAAATAAATGAAAAATGCCCTTGATTTCCAATTGAAAAAGTAAAAAGAAAAAGGAGAATAAAGTCCCCACGACACGCACGCCATTTCTTTTCTACTTTTCTTTTTTTCCTTTTTCTCCTTTTTGATCTTCCCATGTTGTGTGATTGATATGTTTTTGAATGTTCATGCAACGAACTTCAACGTATTTACTATTAAAGGAGTGTTTAGATAAAACCAAATCATGATTTGGAAAATAACTTTTGAAAAATAAATTTTGTGAAAAAGTAATTCTGATAAAATGAGAGTGTTTGGATAGTTATTATCAGAACACTTTTTATATATGTAAATTACTAAAAAAGGCATAAGTTAATATGATAATTATATAAAATATAGATTTTATAATATTTTAATTTGAATGAATAAAATTGTTAATATATTTTTTCCCAACATAATTAATAATACATAAGATAATGTAATTAATAAATAATTAATATGTGTATATATATTTATAAGATACAAGATTAAATATGTTTATAAAAAAATAATTGAGGGGTGTTAAAGTCGTATTATTATTGAAATCTACTTTGACAGGCACAATCATACTGTCCAATTTGAGCCAGAAGTAGAATGGATTCACTTCTCCTGAAACCATAATTTTGGGCTCTAAAACCATGATTTTGGCCCAAACCATAGTTTCAGATTATTTCTCTCTGTTTGGCTCACTCTTTTCCCAAACCATGGTTTGGGATGATACCCAAACACCCCCTAAGTATCTAATCAAAATTTTGGGGAATGATATCTTTATATTCGCAATCTCAAAGCATTTCATTGGAAATCTTTTGGTCAATTTTAACGTGCATGATATTCTGTTTACTTTTCCTTATCTTCTCGTGACATAAACTGCTAAAATTAACTTTGAAAATTGATTTAAAAGGTTCAGTAGCTTCTAAAAATAAAAAGGAGTCGTTTTTTTTTTTTTTAAGTTGATGTTGAAAGTAAAGGGGAGGAGAAAAGGGCATTAGCAACATCATGTGTCTTTTTTTTTTTTTTATCAGGAAAAAAAACATCGCGTGTTAAACTGGCCCCTAAACGGATCGACATGATTAGAGCAACGAAGCAGCCGTTACCATCAAGATCTTATTGGACCAGAAAGTTCTCCTACCTTCAAGGCTTTAACTATACAAAGTATCCAACCAAATACAGAGGAATTGTAGGAAAAACTGATTCCAATATCATCAATATTTTTGGAAGCTGGTCCAAAAAGAATTATTACATTCTCACATCATCCGAGGTTGATGTTCATAACTCTGAAGCTGAAGAGATGAAAGTAATAGAGGTGAGAGTACAAAAGCCATTTGACACAAGGTTGGGTCAAAAGCTTCAATGCCATCATCCTGTCACCAAAATTATGTTTGGACCCATTATTGTCATCCACAAGGAACATCCATCATCTTCGTTTTTCTTCATCACCACAATGGGATCTTCATGATTATCCACTCAACTATTTGATGCCATCAAGCGTGCTTCTACCAACATGGAAGTAAAAAGGTTCCCGACATTTTTTTAACATGTCAAGAAATCAAGAGCTCTTGGTTTCTCCTAACAGTCAGCAAAAACCAACATTGCTCTTGTCTCTGCCAACCGACAATTATTCTTTGCAGCTGTATTCTCTGCAGTTACAAGGTGAACACAAAAGGTAAATACAACAAGAAACACATAAACCGCATGTTTAAGAAAGCTCCGTCTTTGACATGACATAAAGTTGGTGGGCAACATTAGAGATATATCCTGATTCATTCATATACATATTGGCAGCTAGATTGAGTGGTGATGCTTCAGTTGATTGTTAGCACTGCAAGGGCAACTATACTGGATGTTGGCAACAAGAGCACAGAAATAGCGTATTCAAGACAGCTCCATCTTTGACATGAAGCACAGTTGAATTTTAAATAAGAAAATTATAGCTATATTTTCATCCATATTGGCAACTGATTTGAGCGAGTGGTCATGTTTCAGTTTATTGTTAGCCACTGTCTTCCAAAGTTAAACAGTCAAAAAGCCATGAGGACAACAATTCTAGGCAGACAATTAGTTATTGGCGAGGAAGGATGAGAAATGATCGGTATTGTTAATGTTCTGTGAATATAGGCTGCTATATTTCAGTATTTCGTATCAATGAGACGTTGATCACAAGACTTGACAGAAGAAGGACAATTGTTGCATTAATTCAGGAACATCGGTTCTCTCAGTGGAGAAAAAGGAAAGAGAAGCATCAACAGTGAGTGATTCACTCATGAAGCTAATTTGAAAAAAGATTAAGATTAGAATGGTAACATCATACCTACATTGCATTCTCAAGGCAGCCCTCAAAGCACATCTCCATGTGAGCATAGCTTGATACACTTGACCTGACAACTCCTTCGCCCAGGTCAGGCATATACAAAGCCAAATTCATCGTCTACGCTCTTTGCAAGGGGAATGTATGAATCTAAGTAAAGCATCATTGTTCTTATGATAGGCACCATTATACTTATTTATTAACGTTTGCACCAAGAAACTTTGAGAGATCCTTCAACAGTTCAATAAAGGGCATCCGCTCCCAATTGTTTCATCTTCAATGCGGGAAACGCATAGCAGAGGGGGGAAAAAAACTTTCAACATTGATCCATAAGAACCAGCAGTAACATTACGTAAGAACAAGTGAACAACTGCAAAGAATCAGGACATAATCTATCAGTATTAAGCAGGTTAAATGCATGACTAAATAAGTATAAATATTATGTGAAAGCCTAACTAAAGAATATGGAATATCAACAATGTAAAATGATAAAGCAAAAATACCATGTATGTACCATTTGAATTTCAACCAAAAATTAACTCGACAGATGAGTCCCATTCTGTGGCATTATACATCCACGCTCAACAAATCTTAACATGAGGTTATCAGCCTCCACCAACATACCATCCGTTGTCAGTTTCTTGCTCACTTTCTCACACAACTTAAGGTCAGGAATCAAATTGCGGCTAAGCATTCTACTAGCCACCTTATATGCCGACAGAGCCATCCCTTTACTCAGATAGCTTTCCATCAGAACATGGCATGTCTTAGCATCAAGTTTTGAAGCAGTTCTCAAAACCTTCCCTAAAAGTTTATCAGCTTCCTCAAGGTTCCCAAAATCACAGAGCTTCTCAATAACCTGATTGTAAGCCATTCTGAATGTTTGCCTGGCAAGCATTTTATCCAATAATCTCAACAAATCCTCCACTCTGCCCCATTGACAATACCGGTGTATGACTGTCCTATATGTTACCGGAGTAGGAACCAAACCTTTGTTAAGCATTTTCATGATGAGTTCAGAAGCCTCTTCCAATCTACCTTTCTTCCCAAATGCATCAAATAGTGCCGTATATGTGACTGCATCAGGATGTTTGTTGCTTAAATACATGTCATCAAGCACAGACAAAGCAGCATCTAAGTCACCCATCTGACAAAAGCCGTTAATCACAGAGGTAAAGTTGACGGCATTAATGGCACAGCCCTTATTCAGACATTCTTCCATAAATCTTTTAGCCTCAGTTATTTTCCCTTCTTGACATAGAGACTGGAGAAGCAAGTTAATGTCAACTGGTGTTGGGAAAAACCCCCTTTTAATCATTTCCCTGACCAGATCACAGGCCTCAGATAATTTCCCCTCCCTCCGCAACCCATGCATGACAGCACTGTAAGTGACAGCATTTGGACTCCACCAATGCTCCTCACTTGTATTTATCATTTCTCTTGCCTCAACTGACTTTCCACTTCGACAGAGGCCATTCAACAGAGCTGTATATGATACAGTATTGGGCTTGCACCCATGTTTGTACATCTGTTGCATCATCCTTTTAGCTTCATCTACATTTCCCGTGTGACAAAATCCATCAATAACAGCAGTATATGTCACTACATCAGGTATACAACCCTGCACATACATATTGTTCACTAAATTCTTTGCCTCACCCATCCTGCCCTTCTTGGCAAAAGAGTGAACTACTGCACTATACCCAACCTTATCAATGCGAAAACCTTTCTCTTCTGCTTCCTTTAGAAAAGAAAGAGCATCATCTGCATGTCCATGCTTTGAAAGTACATGGATAAGTGTATTATATGTAACCTGATCTGGTATTAATTTACTGTCCCTTACCATATTCTCCATTAACTGCTTCAGTTCTTCAATTCTTTTCTCCTTACAGAGGAAAGTCATCACAGTATAGTAACTAACTTTATCAGGCATGCATCCTTTAGATGGCATACTAGTGATAAGCTCCAATGCACCCTCAATTTGATTTAAATCACAGAACCCCTTAATCAAGCAGTTATAACTAACAGCATTGGGTTTGATTCCTATTAGTTGCATTCTTTCCAAGAACCTCAGTGCATTTTTCAGTTTCTTCCCCTTCACCAAGACATATATGGCAGTGTTACATATCGATAAATTAGGGTCAACACCAGATTTCTGCATCAAGGTCAAAATTTGAAGGGCATTCCTTAACTTGCCTGCACGACTATATGACACCATCACATACCCAAAAGCTTCAGGCGAACACTCAACTCCCCTGCGGGTCATCAACCGAAGAACTCGCCTAGCACCTTGACACAGTTTAGTCTTGCTAAGGACTTCCAACATATTATAGTAGACCATAATGTTATGTCGATAACGCCACTGCCGATCAGCCCAATAGAAAAAATTCAAAGCTACACGCTCGTCATCTTGGGAGCGTAAAACAGCACAAACTTGAGGGGGCTTGAGGCTTCTTAATAAGTGCCTCAATTCTCCTTCCAGTTTTGGGTCCCAAGCTGACCTGAGCGTAATTAACCTGCTAGTTTCTCTGACTAAAGGGTGTCTATATTCATTCTCGTCAATGTCAAATTTCCTAATGTCTACTGTCTGTTTGTGACTGCCTTGAAAGGTGCTAAGAACCTCAAGACTATCATCATCACTACCATGCTGTCCTTCCTCTTCATGATCTTCTTCTACTTCATCTTGGTAGGGCTCATGCGACTCAACATTGTTAAGACACCCAAAATTGAAGTTTTGAGGGATACAAGTATCATCACGGGCACTTCCTGTAAAACGTAATTCCCCAGGAACCACAGAACCATCATACCCATCATTGATATTGTTGGCTTTACATTCCCCCTCACTCTGACTCCCAAAATTCGCAGTTGAGAATACACTCAATCTAATAAAACATAAAGGGTTTGCACAACAATGACTCAAGCATCTATAAGCAGACACCTTTATCAGTTGATTTAACCCCAGTACCATTACCGCAGAAATAATTCTTCCAGAAATCAGCACAGTTAAACCAGCTAATTAGAAAGAACACTCAAATGTCTCTGAACCCCGTTCCGATCCCTCCATGCCATTCTTATCGCCACTGCTTTCTCCCTCTTCTTCTTCGTCTCTATCACCATAGCGATTGGAGAGATGGATTTGCAAAGGCAAATGCACATGCCTGGCGCGTTAACGCTTGCAGCGCTGTTGGGTACGATGGCATCCCGAACTTCCTTTTGGGAGGGAACAACAAGAAGTTTCGCTGGGCCAATAATATGGGCCATTGGATTTGTTGTCTTTTTATAGGTCAGGAGGGCCTTCAAAATATCTTTTTCCATTTTTACCAACTGGGCCTTTGTATTGGGTTAACAGTCCTACAAATTATGGTAGAACATAAACAAAACTAGGTCATTTTTGGGGTGCATATTTGTTAGTAAATTAAATTGTGGATATAAAAATGTACACACATATAAATATATATAATTATTGATGTGTCTGATAAAAAATTTTTGATCAAAAAAATAAACTCATTAGAAGATAAGAACGAATGTTGAGTATTCCAAGAGTTATAATATAAATACTTTTTTATTAGATGCAAGTATCTTTTTAAAAACAAACTATATGCATAAATAAAACATCCATGATAACGTTTTTGGGGCCAAAAATTGCCCATAATAACTCTCAAACAAAAAATTTCTTTATTATAGAAAAACATTATTCGATGAAGGGGAAAAGTGTGTAGAAGCATTTTGTTATTTCTAAAATCCATAAGAACCCTTTATGTGCCACCTTAAGAACCCCAAAGGGTGTTAATTGATGATCAAAGTTCAAAACAAGACAAATAGGTATAATAAAGTGATGCAGACGAATGCATATGGTTTTTTTCCCCCGCAGCACAGGTATCTTGTTTTGGTGGCAATCAGACAATTGCTTGCTTTTCTGTCCTGCATTTAAAGGGTGTTTGGATAATCTCTTATAAACATTTTTTTGAAAATTGAGACAAACTTCTCCACATATTTATTTCGTATACTGTAAAAGCACTTCTGAAATCATATTTTGTTTTTATCCAAACACCCCCTCAAACCATCTTTTACAAGAATATTTGAATTTTTCGCCACTAAATGTTTAGTTTTTTTTCCATAAAAATGCTTTAAATTAAAGAGGCTAGCTCTAATTGGCCAATGCTACAAAACAAAAAATTAAACCTATAACCTTTTACTTGCAGGGCGTGCCACTGAATTCAAATATCATTAATCATAAAGATGTTGGATAATGCTCAAACCTATTCATACAATAATACTAGGTACCATGTAATTATACTACCTCCGAGATAACCGTGCTAGATAACCTCTCATAAACATTTTTCTGCAAATCGAGACAAATTTCTTCACATGTTTACTTCGTATACTGTAAAAGCACTTCTGAAACCATGTTTTATTCTTATCCAAACACCCCCTCAATCCATCTTTTACAAGAATATTTGAATTTTTCGCCACTAAATGTTTAGTTTTTTTCCCCCATAAAAATGCTTTAAATTAAAGAGGCTAGCCCTAATTGGTCAATGTTACAAAACAAAAAATTAAACCTATAACCTGTTACTTGCAGGGCGTGCCACTGAATTAAAATATCATTAATCATAAAGATGTTGGATAATGCTCAAACCTATTCATACAATAACGCTAGGTACCATGTAATTATACTACCTCCAATCCTAAATATAAAAACTAATTGACTAATTTAAGTAGAGTAAGAAAATAAGTTAAGTTAATTAATTGTAATAAATAAATATTGTATTTCTTAAAACATCCTTGTTACTCAACTATTATTAGTTAGAATTACCATTATTAGAAATACTGCCTTAAAATACATAAATATAAAAGATAGAGTGAACTGGGATCTTATATTTAGGATTAAAATAAAAATCAAACAAAATGTTATTTTAGGAAGTAGTGTATGAAAACTATAATAACTAAAACCCTTTGAGAGTTAGGTTGCAGATGGAGTTAAGTGTTAGAAGGCCAATAATCTAAAGCAAGCAATGAATGATTCCAACACATGGACTAGTTTGATTTATGAAGCATTAATAATGGATAATCGAGTGCCACACCATTGAGGGCACTTCTTCTACAACTGTGAGGATCTTTTTGGTCTTTCTCTTCTTTCAAAATTATCTTTCTCTTTCCATTAAAAGATGAGCCACTTTGCTTTAATTTAGATTCTAAGTTTAACTAATCCTCACTTTATAGAATAAAATTGATGTATAGACGTGTTAATTGGAGCTACCCCTATTAAAAGGTATATTTAATACTCTTTCATCCTTTTCATAAAAGAAGAATAACTAATTCTATAAGGATAAAAAAAATTAAAAATGTCAATTTTTTAATGCCCTCATTCAATAATTAATTGGTAACGTTTAATCATTGGTCTCATTAATAAATACTTATTTTTAATGAGGGTACAAAAGAAATTTTCAATAAATACTCTAGGTAAGCTGTTATTTCTCATAAACAGGATTGGGGGAACCCAACAATTTTCTCACAAGAAAGATAGAAGAGAGAGTACATATTATCATGAATACAAAACTTTAAAACTATATATACTAAAGTGATATCAGGTTGTCAGAACATTATATGTAAATAGTAATAATATTTTTATTTTAAATAAATAAAAATAAAAATAATCATTCAATTGTGGAGAATTATATGCTCGGTATCATCTCAATATAAGCTTTAGAAACTGATTGGCATCATCTCAAGAGATGAATTAGAATATTCACAATTAAATTTGAAGAATTATAATTAAATATTTGGTTAAGAAGTACACGTAATCCAAAACAAAACACATTAGTATATATAAAAAAAACATAAAAAAGCTCCATAGAACTTATTTAATATTCAATCTAATATACTTAATTTTATAAACTAAAAAAAATTATCTAACGGCAAAAAAAAATTAGACTAAACAATTATCGGAAGATATATTATCATACTACTACCTTCGTTTCAAAATGCCATTGACTTAAAATGCAAAACCAGACTAAATGGGAAGCAAAATCATAAATAAAGAATCAACTTTCCCACCAAAACTGCCAACGTTTTCAAAGATGGAGAAAATAAAAATAAACACAACCAATCATGCGGTCCCATCGGCATCATTCTTTGACTGCATCAAAGCGTGTGGTTTGGATTTTTTTTCCCTCCAACAAATCATGTGTGGTTTAAATAATAAAATAATAATTATAATAATGATAACAACAAAACTTTATAAATGTGGCTACCATGGCCTTTTTATGTCCTAACAGATTATTTGAACAAATTTAAAAATTTATATGTGATCATAATAATGATCTTTTTGAAGAAAATTAAATGACTAAAACTATCATTGATCTTTTTAAAAAGCGTAATAATGAATGCCTTTGTTGGACCAGCAAGAACTTGCTTAGATTTTTCCTTTTTAGTTGCCCAGAGTTTAGGTGGTTCGATACTTTTTGTTTTCAAAAAATATAGTTTAATTTAGTGTGTTATAAATAATAATAAAAAATTGCCACTTTCAACATTCGTAACATAAAAAATGAGATAATTAATTTGCAAGCTTCATAATTTCACTTGTACTTAATTAAGTCCCCGAAGGTTTTGTTTTTTTTCCTGTTAGCTTTCATTTCCCTCACGTCAATGATAAATAGGACACTTCAGTATCTGTCATTGTCTATGTCGGGTTAGTTATTTAAAAATAAAAAATAAATATATTTTGATTTTTAAAATAATAAAGAATTGATTTTAACATGTGAAAAACTTTACAAGAATAATCAATATCTTTATAAAAATTAACATCATTTATTTATTATTTTAAAATTTAATAGATATTTTATAGTCATTTTCCCTCCATTTGGCATGGTATTAAACCAAAAAATGTGACCATATATATACAAGACTTAAAGCTAATATTTATGAGTCCAAGCATTGCAAACAGTTCTGAATTTAGAAACTCACTCCTCTGATTCTATTTATAGGGCACTTCTAGCATATTTCATATAGATATAAAAAAATCTTAAATTATATTAACTCTCCATTAAAATATAACAACTTTCCAACCTTACTTCCATTTAATATAAATACCTTTAAAAAAAATCTATCTATACTGTAATAAATGAATGACAAGTTAGTATATTCATACTAAAAATTTAATAAAGTGACTTATAAATAGGATTAAAAAAATTTCTCTACCTTATACAGGACCGGAGGAGTAATTCTCTATTATGATTTTTTTTTTTGGGATAGTACTGTGATTAAGAAGACTTGTGGGGAAAAAATAGGAACAACAATATTCAGAAAAGGGGGCACGTGGAGGGTGGTCAAATATGTGGGCATGGATTCAAAGGAGAGAAGAGGGAGTGGTCAAAGCCATAATAAGTAAACAGGCAGATGACACGTCAGCACTACGGGACACAGGGCCCGTGACAATGGAAACACGCCATGTGAATTGAGAAACTCTTCCCCTTCTTCAAACATTTTCTTCCTAATTGCTCCTTACTTTCATTATTCTATTATTACTATTATTATTATCAATAATTTAAAAAAGAATGTTTCCTGGGCCCATAAAATTCTTATAATTAATTCTATTGCAGTCTCCAAATATTTGTAGGGTATAGGGAGGGACCATATATTAATTAGGTCCTATGACCTTGCCTTGTTGCCTTTTAATACTTCTACTACACTTCATCATGAATAATGTGGCAATTCTTGATTCTCTGCATTTGTTGTGTTTATATCTCCATTCAAACTTTGCAACAACTCCCCATTTTTTCATCCCTTTTCAACACACACTTTTACTTTTGGAAAAAAATCAACAACAAAAAACTGCCCCTTCAATTTTAAAATTTTAAAATCAATCTTAAACTAGTAATTAACTATATTTAAAAAAATGAATGATAACATATTTTTATAGTAATTTTTTATTTAAAATTTTGAAATTTAAGAGGTACTTTTTTAAAA